GAGGGAGCCGTCTGGGAGGGTCATGGGGATGATAGGGGAGATCCAAAGGGACGTGAATGTCTTGGGAACCAACCTGTGCTTTCCTTCCAGAGACCTTCTCAAAACCCAAAATCTGGGCTGACCCAGGCTCTGTGATCACCTTGGGGAGCCCCGTGACCATCTGCTGTCAGGGGACCCTGGAGGCCCAGGAGTACCACCTGTATAAAGAGGGAAGATCATTTCCCCGGGACATACAGAGCCCACTGGAGCCCAGGAACAAGGCCAAGTTCTCTATCCCATCCATGACACAGCACGATGCAGGGCGATAGCAATGTTACTATCACAGCCCTGCCGGCTGGTCAGAGTCCAGTGACCCCCTGGAGCTGGTGGTGACAGGTGAGAGGACACTCATGGGTCACAGCCCCAGGCTTTGCCCTCAGGAAGGGGGTCTGCTCTCAGGGGTGTCTTCCCGTCTCAAAGCCCAGTGGTGTGAGCCCCATTTAACACACCTGCCTCTTTCTCTTCTAGGAATGTACAGAAAACCCACCCTCTCAGCCCTGCCCAGCCCTGTTGTGACTCCAGGAGGGAATGTGACCCTCCAATGTAGCTCAAGCCTCAGGTTTGGCACGTTTGTTCTGACTGAGGAAGGAAAAAACAATCTCTCCTGGACCCTGGACTTAGAGCAACACCCTGGTGGGGAGTTCCAGGGCCTGTTCTCTGTGGGCTCCATGACCACAATGCACAGGCGTACGTTCAGATGCTATGGCTATTACAGGAACACACCCCAGCTGTGGTCAGAACCCAGCGATCTCCTGGAGCTCATGTTCTCAGGTGAGGGGCTTCTAAACCTCTCCCGTCTTAGCTCAAAGGATCAGATCAGGACGCTGCCCCCAGGAGAGCTCTGGCCTGGGATGGGAGTAAGGGAAACCCTGAGGGAGGGTCAGCCAGAGGGGAATTCATTCCTCAGAAAGGAGGAGGCCATCAGGAGTTTTTTCAAGCCTGTCCCTTTCCATGTTCATATCCCCAGAAGGTGTCAGGTGGGCAGAGGGAGGCTCTTGGGAGGCTACAGGGCAGATATAGATAAGACTGAGCAGAAATGGGTTCTGGGGGCAGTTCCTGTCCCTCACACTTCTCTTGTCCTTATTCCTACGATCCACGGGGGGCAGCAGTCCCCCACCCACAGGGCCCAGCTCTGCAGTTGGTGAGTCACAGGGACGTCTGTCAAGAGAATTTACAATTTTCCCCAGGCTTGCCTCAAGAGACTGTCAGCCGATCTAAGTCCTAGTTCCAGTTCTCAGCATGGCTTGTGTCCAGGGGAGCGGGGAGTCAGAGAGAGATGTCAGCTGGTACCACAGGGGCCCCCAGGGGCTCTGAGGCTGGGGTGGTTGAGGGGTGGGTGGTCAAGGCAGAGAAAGACATTAGTGGCCCAACCTGGGGGAGGAGCAGCTGGACTGAAGTGAGGAGCACAGCAGCCCCAGTCCCTCACCTCCCTGTCTTGATCACAGGAGGTCCTGAAAATCAGTCCCTCACCTCCACCGAGTCAGGCACCCAAGATGGTAAGTGAGGGCCTGTGTTGGGAGGTGAGGGTGGGGCTCAGAAGAGGCAGGGATTTAGTTATGTCGTCAGTTCAGGCTCCTCTGGAGACAGAGACTTGGCCAGGACTGCCCATCTGGGCCTCAGTTTCTCCAGTTGTAAAAGGAAAAGGCCTGTCCCAGATCCTAAAGTAACTTTCAGTTTTGCCTTCTGGCTGTGACGTCCTGGGAGAGAAAGCCTCCCAGGGAAGCCTCCCAGGACCTGATTCTGCAGTGGCCCTGTCCCATCTGAGCAGTGATGGTGACATTGTGCAGGAGAGGGGAGCAGGGCCATGGTAGGGGACGTTCAGGCTCTTTCTCTCAGTTCAAGATGCTCAGCTCTGGTATATAGATCAAGGATTAGAAGTAAGACTACCTGGGTACAATTCCCAGCTCTGCTGCTCCCTGGCTGGGTAACCTGGGGCTGGCAATTTACCTTTCTGAGCCTCAGTCTCCTTATCTGTAGAACTGGTGGGGTGGGGATAGCAATCCTTGGTTGCACAATTTGTGAGGGTTGGAGGTGATGGATGCAAAGACCCAGCACATGCCTGGCACACAGTAGGTGCTCAATTAATGGCATCATTTCTCATTCATGACGTCACTTGTGCCCAAGGTTGCAAATGGTACCTGAAGGGTCTGATTGGGGTCTCAGTGGCCTTCGTCCTGCTGCTCCTTCTGCTCCTCTTCCTTCTCATTCGATGCTTGCATCAGGGAAAGCACAGGAAGTTGGGTGAGTAGAAAATGGGTCCCCCATGGACCAATCAATGGGGAACTCGGGGCACCAGCCACAGGGAAACCAAATAGATGGGGTATTGCCAGCTCAGAAAAACATCTTCAGCATTACAAATGGAAAAAATCTGGAAAGAAAGCGGTTAATGTCAGCACACATGTACAAATTTAAAATTTTTTTTTGGCTTTTTAGTCTTATAAAATATTTGAAACATCTATTCAAGTGTCTTAACGTTTCCCTCTTTTCTTTCTAGTTGCATGAGGGTGATGGGGGGTTCTAACATTCCCAGGCTGAGACTGTCCATTTTCACCCAGCTCAGAGAGAGGCTGATTTCCAACTTCCTGCAGGGGCTGCCAAGCCAGAGCTCAAGGACAGAGGCCTGCAGAAGAGGTGATTTCTTCCCAGAGGACCCCAGACTCCAACCCCTGCTTGGAACCTCCTCGTTCCCACTTAAAACTCCTGTGTTTTTCCCCAGCTCCTGCAGAACTGCTGACATTCAGGAATAAAACCTCTGTGAGGAAGAGGAGGGTCCACCCTGGGGGTAGGAGATGGGGTCCCAAAGGCTTTAGTAAGCAACGGAGGAAGGGACAGGCTAGGAAGCTTTTGGGACTCAAGAGGTGAGGAGGACTGAGCTCCAGTACTGTGTGACCTCAGGGACATCGCAGCCACTCCCTGGATCTCAGTGACCCCATCTTGGAGCAGGGCAGGGGCCTGTGGAACTGAGAGATCCCAGGGAACCTTGACAAGAGATGACACCCCCCCCCCCTTGTTCTGCCCCAGCAGATGCTGCCGAGAAGGACACACAGCCTGAGGACGGCGTGAAGCTTGACAGTCAGGTGAGACCCCTGCCCCTGTCCAGGGCACCAAAGGCCTTCCTGTTGCCAAGTTTAATCCAATGGACACTTGTCCTCCCACCACTCACCTCTCAGCGTCCTCCCACAGTTGACCCTCCCTTCTCGAAGCACGCTGCCCCTGCCTGCTGTGACTTCGCTCTCTCCTGGTTTTCCTGTGATCTCAGGGGCTCCTCTTGCCTGGTTCCCCTTCTAGCTCCTTGTCTTCTGTTTGACAGCCTGGTTGTTAGAGTATTCCCTGGGTCTCAGAAGGGCACAGGAATAAATGAATCCCCCAAGATCTCTGGACACCCTTTGTTCATTCACTGAACAAACATTCACAGAGAGCTCACTCTCAGTCGGGCTTCACGTAGGTGCTGCAGACCCAGCAGTGAGAAAAGCTGTCTCCACCCTCCCCGAGCTCACCTTGTGAATGAGAGACAATAATATGCAAATAAATTCAGAGTGTCCAGGGGTACAAAGTGCTGTTAGGGAAAATAAACCAAAGAAAGGGATAGCGTATGTAGGGGCAGACTGAGTCAGTTTGAACTATCAGGAGAGGACTCTCTGATAAGCTGTCATCTGAGAAAAAGCCTGAGTGCAGAGGGCCATACAAACATCTGCTGGATGAGCACCTGCAGGCAGAGGAAACAGCAAGTGCAAGGTCCTGAGGCAGGGACATGCTTTTTCAGGAAGACAGGACCTGTGGCTGGAGTCAAATGAGCAAGGGGGTCAGAGCATCAGGATACGAGGTCAGAACTGCAAGGAGGAGGCTTCCAGATTCTCCAGTATTTTAGGAAGTTTAAGAAGATTCCATCAGAAACTGACACAATCTGATTTAAATTTTTGAAAGATAACTCTTGTAACAGTGTGGAAACTTATCTGAGGGAGATTGAGTGAAATTACAAAGACCCCCTTCATTACTGTCTCTCTCCAGCACAGCTCACAAGACGAAAACCACCAGGAGGTGACCTACACCGAGGTGAACCACCCCAGACTCAGGCAGGAAGTGGCCTCCCCTCCTCATGTCTTCTCCAAGGAATTCTTGAACATGAAGGACAGACAATCAGAAGAGGACAGGCAGATTGACAGTCAAGTGAGTCTTTCCCTCTCCAGTCCCCCAGTACTCCCCTCCAACCTGAACCATGCATCTTCCCTCTCACTCTCCCCCCATTGCAGGCTGCTGCAGCTAAAACCCTCCAGGATGTGACCTATGCCCAGCTGCACATCTTGATGCCCAGACTGCAGACAACACCTCCTTCCTCCCACTCAGGGGAGCCCCCAGCTGAATCCAGAGAGTGTGCCGTTCTGGCCATCCACTAGCCCAGGAAGGACCCAGACCCCACACTTCAAGGAGGGAGAGCCAGGGACCACAGAAGACCCAAGAGCTTCCCCCAATGGACACTAACTCATGGACTCTAGCCAATCTGGACACCTCATGTAGACCACCAGGAGATGTGGGGAACTTTTAAAACTCATCTGATTCCACAAAGATAACTAAAATTCTTATATTTTGGAAATACAGCAACAGACTTCTCAATAATCAAGTAGTTAAATGAGGAAAACCAAAAACCTAAGTGAGAGAATCTTTAAAATTGATTGATAATGTAAATATTACACATTAAAATATAAAATTGGAAAATGAAGTCCCATGAATAAATAAATTAGAAAAGAAAAAAACCTTTAAAAAATCAATGACCTAAGTTATCATATCAACAATTTAGAAAAAAATAGCAAATTATTGCAAATAAAGGTATAAGAAAGAAAATAATAATATTAGTGGCTGCTAATGAGAAGATACTTTAAAAACAGATAAAAAATTGATAAAGCAAAATAGTTCATTCTCAAAAATGTTGACATTTATAAACCCTACCCATAATGAGCAAAAATAAAAACAAGAGGCACACATTTCCAATATAGGAATGAGAAATGAGTAGCACTACAGATCCTACATATATTTTCAGAAGATAATAAGAGAACACTATGAGCAATTCTATGTCAATATATTAAAAAATGCAGATAAAATTGACAAAATCCCCCAAAATACAATTTACTAAATAGACATAAAAATAGAAAATTTGAATCATCGTACTCATCTATGTACACACACACATAATACTTTTACTAAATACTTTGCTAAATACTTACTAAATACTGTTTCTAAACACTTTAACTAAATACTTTTACTCTGTAATAAAAAATGTTCCCACAATCTAAACTCCAGTTCAAGAAGTTGTGTTCGTGATTTCTTCCACTTATGCACTTATGAAACACACACACACACACACACACACAAAAAAAAAAAAAAAAAAAAAAAAAAAACCTGACACAAACTTTCCCTGAGACTAGAAAAAGGGGATATACATCCAAACACATTTTATCAGAAGAAGTTGTGTTCGTGATTTCTTCCACTTATGCACTTATGAAACACACACACACACACACACACACAAAAAAAAAAAAAAATAAAAAAAAATAACCTGACACAAACTTTCCCTGAGACTAGAAAAAGTGGATATACATCCAAACACATTTTATCAGGCAAGAAAAAAAATTGATACCAAAACTTGACAAGGAAACTACAAAATAGGAAAGTTATTGAAAAGATCTCTCACATGACCTTAGATGTAAATCCCTAAACAAATATTGAATATAATATTCATTCCTGTTTTTCTGGGTTATTTTGGGTTTTTTTCTTTTTTGTTTTTTTATTGTGGTAAAACATACATAAGATAAAAATTGCCATTTGAAACATTTTTAAACATACAACTGTGTGGAATTAATTACATTCACAATGCTGTGCAACCACTACCTCTATTTCCAAAATATTTTGGTCATTCTAAATATAAACTCTGTACACATTAAGCAACAATCTCTCATTATCTCTCTTTTCATGACTACACTTTTTAGTTTATGTTTATGGAAGACAAGAGTAGCTTAATTTTCAAAAATTAATCAACATAACTGAATACATTGAGAATAAAAATTTATCATCTCAATAAATGTAGACAAATTTTACATGAAATAAAAGTATAAATACAAATTCATATAAATAAAAATTTTTAAAACCAAACAAAAAACTACATCGGGCACTCAAAAAAAATTGGGGGGGCAGCTTTTTGGTACAGAGATTGAACCTTGGACCTTGGGGTTATCGGCACCAGGCTTTAATCAACTGAGCTAACCAGCCAGCCCCCAAAATATTTTGAAAATAAAAGCTTTTTGAAAGGTTAAAAAAAAAAAAAGTCAAGCTCTTACCCAATCATTGTTACTCAACGTGAAGGTAGGACCACAGGATGAGGAGGGGAGTTCTGAGAAAGGAAACAAGGGGCACCAAGGAGACAGGAACGAGTGAAGGGTGGTTTCCAAAGAGATGGCGGTAGATGCTGTTGCTAAGAAGAAAAAGATCGTTCATGAAGTGGACAGCTTAGAAGAAAACAAACCCACACTCCACAGTCAAAATAAGAGTCATATTTTATTCCTTATTTCCCTTTATCTCTCCTTTGTGCTCTTTGCCGCAGTGCAGCTCAATGTGAACTGCACAGTCAGATGTTGAATGTGTCTCTGCTGATCTGAGTCTGCCGCACAGCAGGAACCTGCATCTTCCCTGAAGCATCTCCAGGGCTGGAGAGATGACTGGCCATGGTAAGGACAATGCAACCATGTGCTGATGGAGGGGCTGAAGGAGAGAAGATAGCCCCATGGGGAGGCTCTGTGAGGGAAGGAGAAGCCCTCAGTCACTCTCACCCAGAAGGGGCAAACTCGGGAAGTGACCAGGTCTACTTGCCACTATGTCCTGGCCCTAGGTGAGATGAGGACAGATCAGGTAGACAGTAGCTGGAAGGCAGGGGAGACCTCATTTCTGTATGAAATGTCTACAAAGAGTCTGGTGCCCATCCAATTCTCAGCCCTGGAGAAAGAGACCCAGGGTCTTGGAGCAGGGGGCAGTTCCTGCCCTGTAGAGCTGCTGATATGACCACCCTGTGACAGGGAGTAACGAGCCTCCAAGTGTCCCACCCCATGTGTCTGTCTGTCCTGCCAGGCACTGTGGTCTCATCCATCTGCTCAGCTGGGGCCAGTGGAAGGAGACGCCATGACCCCCAACCTCACAGCCCTGCTCCGCCTTGGCGAGACTTGAAGAGGGGAGAGTAGGCCCCGGGAGGGCCATCATCCCACAGCCAGGCCCTTATCCATTAGGAATTTTCAGGCACTTGGCAGGTTCAGCGGAGGAAAAGATCTGCTCAGATTTCAGGGGGCAAATCTCTCACAGGAAACTCTCTTCCAGGGCTGAGTCTGAGCCCCAGGACCTGAGAGCAAGCAGGTGAGTCTGTCTCCAGGTATCCTCATTGGGAATAAGGGGCCAACCTTATTGCTAGAATGGAGAATAGCAGTTCTGGGCTGAGTTATGGGAACATCTGGGAGGATGCTGGGGCTGAGAGCTAATATCTAAGTGTGAGAATGTCTTGGGTCCCAGTGTCTGATTTCCTTCCAGGGACCCTCCCCAAACCCACCATCTGGGCTGACCCAGACTCTGTGATCACCTGAGGGAGGTCAGTGAAATCTGGTGTCAGGGGATCCTGGAGGTCCAGGAGTACCATCTATATAAAGAGGGAAGGTCAGTGTCCTGGGAACACAGAGCCCACTGTAGCCCAGGAACAAGGCCAAGTTCCCCACCCCATCCATGACAGACCACTATGCAGGGCAATGCCACTGTTACTATCAAGGCCCTGCAGGCTGGTCAGACCACAGTGACCCCCTGGAGATGATGGTGACAGGTGAGAGGACACTCAGGAGTCCCAGCCCCAGGCTTTGCCCTCAGGAAGGGGTCTGCTGTGAGAGGTGTCTCCCCTCTCACAGCCCAGCCCTGGGATATAATGTGAGCTCCATTTAACATGGCTGCTTCCCTCTCTCCTAAGAGCTTACATTGAACCTACCCTCTCAGCCCTGCCAAGCCCTGTCACGACCTCAGGAGGGAACGTGACTCTCCATTGCAGCTTACAGCTGGGATCTGGTGGTTTTGTTCTGGCTGAAGAAGGAGAACACAAGCTCTCCTGGAGTCAGATCTTATAGCCAAATCCCAATTGCAGTTCCAGGCCCTGTTTCCTGTGGGTCCCATGATCCCCAGACACAGGTAGACATTTAGATGCTAAGTCTATGACAGGAACAAACCACAGGTGTGGTCAGACCCCAGCGATACCCTGGAGGTACTGGTCTCAGGTGAAGAAGCCACAGCCTTTTCATATACAATTTTGGGGCACCAGGCAGGTAGGTAGTTGAGAGCCTTATCCTCAGGACTTCCCCAGGTGATAAGAAAGTGTATGAAACACACATCCTTTCTTGGAACCGTGGGGACACGAACATAAAGTGAGAAAAACCATGACACTGAAAGTCCCAATGAGCAAGAAAATAGAAGGGAGGTGTTTGGGAAGAACCAGCCCCTGCTTACACGGCTCGTCTTTCCCTCCAGGTGTGTCCAGGAAGCCCTCCCTCCTGACCCAGCAGGGCCCTGTCATGGCCCCCGGAGAGAATCTGACCCTCCAGTGTCACTCTGATGTCAGCTATGACAGATTCTCTCTGTCCAAGGAGGGGCGCCATGACCTCCCCCAGGGCCCTTGCTGGTAGTCCCAGGCTGGGCTCTCTCAGGCCAACTTCCCCCTGGGCCCTGTGAGCAATTCCCGCAGGGGCAGGTACAGATGCTATGGTGCACACGGCCTCTCCTCTGAGTGGTCAGCCCCCGGTGACATCCTGATCGGAGGTGAGGAGCCCAATGGGTTCAGTTAGGGATCCAGACTCTTCACAGGCCCTGTTGGGGGAGCCCCAGGTGGTAATGGCCAGGATGAGGGGTGGGGGTCTCAAAAGAGGGAGAGAGACAGAGACAGGGGATGGGGGGAGAGAGACTCAGAGAAAACAAAGACAGAGAGACTGAGGGTTCTTATAGATCCATACTGGTGAGGTCTTGGCTCAGAATAAGATGTGGGATAGCCCCTCACCCACCCTTCTTCTCTCTAGAACAGCTCCCTGACGGATTCCCCCTCTTGGTGCAGCCCGATCCCACAATGGCCTGAGGAGAGAACATGACCTTGCTGTGTCAGTCATAGAGCCTGATAGACACTTTCCTTCTGTCCAAGGAGGGGATAGCTGATCCCCCCCTGCATCTTAGATCAAAGTACAGCGCTCAGTAGTACCAGGCCAAATTCCCCATGATTCCTGTGACCTCAGCCCCCGGGGGGACCTACAGGTGCTATGGCTCAGGTAGCACCTCCCCCTACCTATTGTTATACCCCAGTGACCCCCTAGAGCTCATGGTCTCAGGTGAGGCTTCCCCACCCCTGTCCATTGAGGCTGGAGTTAGACTTGGTTGAACCTCGAGAAAAATGCGATTAGAACTTAGCTTCTGTAACACAGCTGTCCTTTTATCCCAATTTTTTTTCAGAGAAAAAGCTGTTGGTTTTTATTATATCTAATCCCTCCAACCTTTCTTTTTTTTCTCTATGGAAACTTTTTTATTACTATTTAATTTTATTTATTTATTATTTTTTCATTGTACATTTTTGTGGGGTACAGTTTGTTGTTTCAATACATGCATACAGTTGTACATGATCTAATCAGAATAGTTGGCATATCTATCACCTAAACATTTATCATTTCTTTGTGGTTATAACATCCAAGATCCTCTTTTCTGGCTATCTTGAAATATATAATACAATATTATTAACTATATTGACTTATCTTTTAAATCTATTTTCTTGTTTCATTAGTTTTTTAATTAGAAATGGATGCTTTTTCTAACTTTTTTTATGTGTCCTGAAAAATGGTCTTTTCTCTCTGACATATTACCATGGTGAGGCACATTAAGAAGGCTTCCTGGTATCAACACTTGGATATTCGCCCAAGTCACAAATATTTACTCTTTATTCACATTTTCTGAATTTTACATGCTACCGTTTCATTTATAATGTTTTATAAATTTTTTCTTTATCATTTGTGTGTTACTTTTATACTATTGTGATATCACAACTGGTTAAATATATTTGGAGGGTTTCCTATATTTTATGCTCATGCCATTTTTATAACACCAAGGTGTTCATTGTTCTTTAAAGGTTTACTTATTGACTAGAACTGTAGACTTCTCAGTTTCCAAAGATTTGATCTGGAAGAAGTGGAGATTAACTTTTAAAATTATAATGAAATCATTACTTTCTTTTCATTGAAGTCTTAAAGCAGTATCCAGACTTCTTCCAAATAAAAAAAGTGAGATGATGGAGCCTCTCTCCTCTGCCCTGTTGTCTCTGGCCTGTCTCAAATGCACCAGGTCCCCAAATCTCAGCTTCTTCTTCTGTCCCCTCCTACCTTCCATAGTCAAGACTTTATTCCTTATTTAAGGATAAGCTGAGATCTTTCTGGGCACCTGCTCTTCCTGTAGCCTCTGGTGCTCCTTGTCTGGATCTTCATGTGGCTCCTCTCTGGGTCCTTTTTCTATTCAGGGATCTCCTTAAATGTCATCTCCAAGTGTAACCATCACAACAGTACTCTTAACAACAGACCAGTCTCCTTCTTACTATTATATATTTATGTAATTAACCCAACTACACTTTATAAGTTGAATATTCTCTAGATAGACAGATCGACAAATAAATAGGTAGATATAGAAAGTTATCTATCTTTCTATGTCTACAATTGAAACTCTTTGCTCGTGTAAGTAAAATTTTCCCTCTGCTATGAGTTTACAAATTAAATATTGCTCTTGCTAAATAGATTCACATTCCGAGAAAACATAAAACTTGTCTTATAACACCACTAAAAATAATTATATAAATATGTATGTATACCCAATTGTATGTACACCTAACTCTACAAAGAATAACATAATGAAAGAATAAATAGATAATGTAACTGCAGTTACAGAATAATATTTAGACTCCAGAAGGGCTGGGAACTGCTGAGGTGGAGTGAAGGGGGACACATCACAACTTTCACCCCTTTGTGCTCCTGACAGGCAGGAGCCTCTGACAACCAACCTCATCTATGGATCCTGGGTCCTCAGCTGCTGAATAAGTGGAAACTCTCATCGCCAAGGGAATTAGGTGGTCCTACATCCCAGACTAAATGGAGAGCATACAAAGGCTCAATTATTTCTGAACTGGGAGACCATTTTTCTCACTAACACTAAGCTCTTGGGGCTCAGCTAAATTTGTTGTAAAGTGACTCAGAGTTAAGGTCTGAATTCACAGAACACAGAGATTCTGAAGAATCCAATGAGGAGACCAGAGAGAACCCTGCTACAGCAGAGAAAGCATTCATTAAGAAACTATATAATAGTTATATCATGAGAGGTGGGAAGATATAAGCATGCAGAAACCCAGGGTGTGTCTGGACAGGGCCTTTTCAACTTCTCACCAAAATTCTGGGTTTTCTTTGACCCTAAGGAGCAGCCGATACCATCAACACATGACAAAAATCAGACTCCAAGAATGGTGAGTAGAAAAAATTCTCAATTATGGGATTGGGCTCAAAGTGTAAAGTTCTGTCAAGAGAATTTGGGTGCCCTGGGTGGACATCCAAGGATTCGGGGTGATTTGATCTGCCTTAAATTCTGTGAGCTCTTTGTCCACAATTCCTAGCCTCATACCCAAGGATTACAGAGTAGAAAATCTCACCCAGATGTGTATGGCTTGTTTGATCCTGGTGGTGTTCAGGATTCTGGTGTTTGAGGGTTGGCACAACCAGAGAAGCCCCCAAGATGCAGCCAGGAGGTAGCACAGGAAAAAGAAAAATACACTATTCATAGTGGTAGAATTAAACCTGATGATCCCAGGAGGTTCTGAAAGATAATCTGGGACATATGCTGTGTGAACTGTTTGCAGATCATCTCGAGGTGGAGAATTCATTGTTCAGGTGCAGAGACGATGTCTGAACTCTTCTTCCATTAAACTGTGGTATTTTCCTTCACTCTCTTTGTGGAGTTTTTGTGACTGGCCCCCATCTTTCTCAATCCCTGTGACATCAGCTTATGTCCGACATGGCAAATTTGGGTCCATACTTCTATACAACTTCATGCCCTGGTCAATGTTCATGTAATACATTTTTCTTTATTTCTAGTTTTAATTAATATGCCTTTATGTACATATAGAATCTTTATCTCTTCAGTTCGAGAATTAAACCTTGTTTAATAAAAAATAAATTGCCATAATAAGGTGCTGTGGACTGAATATTCTCCCAGAACTCATTAAAACCTCACCCCCATTGTAAGTGTTAATAAGGTGGAAATTTGATTAAGGTATTTGAAAGGTCGAGGTAATTAAATCATGATGACTGTACACTCATGAGTAGGTAATCCATTCATGGAGTAATGATTAACATGGGCGTGGACTGATGGCCTAATAAGGAGTACATGAGAGAGCTCTTGCAATTTTCTCACCACATGACACTCTGTGTCACCATGGGACCCTGAAGATAGTTCCCATGCAGAAGAAGGCCCTCATCAGATATGTTCCCTGGGCCTAGAACTTGCCAGCCTCCAAAACTATGAGAAATTCTATTTCATTATAAATTACCTGGTTTTAGGTATTCTGTTATAAGCAACATAAATGGACAAATACACAATGATTCCAGCTTGAAGAAGATAATCCCAAAACAAGGCCCTAACACCATCTCCGGACCCCATAATTTCCCCACTTTTCATTGGATGCTATCTGTGTAGTTTCTCCACAAATATCATTACTTGGAATCAACACACTGGTGTTTGACCTTATAGCCCAGTGGTTTGCTGTCTGTGAAAACCCATTGTTAAAAATGCAGGTATGTGGCATTTTCAATTTTCTATAGTATAAAGACTCCCTTCCTGGCCAACATCAAGGTTCCAATGGGACATTACTGACACAGAGTTGGAAGTGATACAAAGAGTTGACTTTTACCAAAGAGTACAAGCCAGCTATAGTACATCTCTCTGATATCTTCTACGCACACCTAAATTTTCTTATATTTTAAATGTAATGATAATTTCTAGCTCAATGTTGCAGCACAATTTTAATAAAATTATGAGGCCAAAATTCCACCACATTCAGATAAGATGCAAAGAGAAAAGTGGTAATATCATTGTGGGAAAAAATAGTGTGCACATAGAATTCTAATACATTGCCAGTAGGAGTACAAATTACTTCAGTTAGTAAAGAGAGATTGTAATTATCAAGTAAAAGCAAGGGACACAGATCTTTGGTTCTTAAGTATATACCTTAGAAAAATATGTACCTATGCACCAGGATCAATTCACAACATTGACAAGAAAGTCCTTCATATTGGCAAAAAATTATCTTAAAATTCCATATACCAAAATAAAATTGCTACTATATATGGAAAAACAAGCATTATGTCAGCAAAAAGCACAAGCTAAAATTCCAAATAGTCATGTATATCCATCTTCAAACATGACAATGAATAAATGAAGTAGATTATAAAAGAGTGTGCTTATCACCTACCAAGACTGAACAAAGGAGAAACAGAAAACGTAAATAGACCCAAAACAAGTAATGAAATAATTAAATTAAATCCATAATAAAAAGTCTCCTAACAACAACAACAGAAAAAGCCCAGGGCCAGATGCCTTTACTGCTGAATTCTACCAAACATTTAAAGAAGAACTAATACCAATACTTCTTAAATTATTTCAAAAGATTGAAGTGGGCAGCATTCTTCCAAAGCCATACTATGAGGCCAGCGTTACTCTGATACCAAAACCAGGCAAGGACACAACAAAAAAAAGAAAACTACAAGCCAATATCCCTAATGAACATATGCAAAAATCCTCAATAAAATACTAGCAAACCAAATCCAAAAGCACATCAAATAGAGTATACAGCATGATCAAATGGGATGCAAGGGTGGTTGAACGTATGCAAACCAATAAACATAATACATCACGTCAACAGAATGAATGAAAGAAAAAAAATCATCATCTCTATAGAGGCAGAAAAAGCATTTGATAAAATTCAACATCTCTTCATAATAAAAACTCTTGACAAATTGGGTATAGAAGCAAAGCATCTTAATACAATATATGACAAACCAACAGCTAAGATCATATTGAACAAGGAAAAGCTTAAAGCTTTCTCCCGAATAACTGGAACAAGACAAGGATGCCCACTCTCACCACTTCTATTCGCCATAGTACTGGAATTAGGCAAGAGCAATTAGACAAGAGAAATAAATAAAGGGCATCCAAATTGGAAAGGAGGATGTCAAGTTGTCCCTGTTTGTGAATGACATGATTTTATATATACAGAAACCTAAAGGCTCCACAAAAAAACTCCTAGACCTGATAAACAAATTCAGTAAAGTTGCAAGATACAAAATCAACATACAAAACTCAGTAGCATTTCTATATATCAACAACAAACTTGCAGAAAAAGAAATCAAGAAATCTATCCCATTTACAACAGCAACCAAAAAATGGAATAAAATATCTAGGAATAAATTTAACCAAGGACGTGAGAGATCTCTACAATGAAAACTATAAAGCACTGAGTAGAGAAATTAAAGAAAACACACAAAAAATGGAAGGACATCCCATGTTCATGGATTGGAAGAATCAATATTGTCAAAATGACCATATTCCCCAAAATGATCTACAGATTTAATGCAATCCCCATCAAACTACCAATGACATACATCAAAAAAATAGAAAAGAACAACTCAAAAATTATATGGAACAACAAAAGACCCTGAATAGCCAAAACAATCCTGAGCAAAAAGAACAAAGCAGGGGACATCGCACACCCTAACTTCAAAATATACTACAAAGCAATAATAATCAAAACAGCATGGAACTGGCACAAAAACAGATAAACAGATCAGTGGAACAGAATAGAGAATTCAGAAATAAATCCACATATCTCCAGCCCACTTATTTTTGAAAAAAAGAGCCAAGAACCAGTCTTCAATTAGTGGTGCTGGGGAAATTGGAGATCCATAAGCAGAAGAATGAAATGAGACCCCTGTCTCTCACCATATACCAAAATCAACTCAAAATGGATTAAAGATTTAAATGAATGACCTGAAACTATAAAACTTCTGGAAGAAAACATAGGTGAATCACTTCAGGACATTGATCTGGGCAAAGACTTCATGAATAATATTTCTTAAGCACAGGGAACAAAAGCAAAAATTAACAAATGTGATTATATCAAACTAAAAAGCTTCTTCACAGCAAAAGAAACAAGAGCAAAAAGACAACCTGCAGAATGGGAGAAAATATTTCCAAACTATGCATAAGGTAAGGGATTAATATCCAGAATTTACAAAGAACTCAAACATCTTAATAGTAGAAAACCAATAATCTGACTTAAAAATGGGCAAGGGAACTGAGTATGCAGTTTTCAAAAGAAGGCATACATTTCATATGCCAACAGGTATATGAAAAAATTCTCAACATAACTAATCATTAGAGAAATGCAAATCAAAACCACTACAAGAAATCATCTCACCTCAGTGAGAATGGCTGTTATCAAAAAGACAAAATAACAAATGCTGACGAGGATATGGAGAAAGGGGAACTCTTATACATTGTTGGTGGGAGTGTAAATTAGTACAGCCTTTATGGAAAACAGTATGGAGGTTTCTCAAAAAACTGTAGATAGAGCTACAATGTGATTGGGCAATCCTACTACTGGGTATATATCCAAAGGAATGGAAATCAACAAGTTGAGGGGACACCCACACCCCCATGTTTATCACAGCTCTATTCACAATAGCCAAGAGTTGGAACCATCCTAAATGTCCTTCCATGGATGATTAGATAAAGGAAATGTGGTATATATACACAATGGAATAATACTACCGAGCCATAAAAAAGAATGAAATTCTGCCATTTGCAGCAACTTGGATGAGCTTGGAAAAAATTATATTAAGTAAAATAAGCCAGGTACAGAGAGAGAAATACCACATATTCTCACTCATATGTGGAAGCTAAAAAAGTTGATCTCATAGAAATAAAAAGTACCAGTGACTGGTGGGGGGGGGGAGGGGAGGGGAGGGAATGGGGGATGGGAAGAGGGTGGTCAGTGATTACAAAACAGTAGAAAGATAGGAAGAATAGAATCTAGTGTTTTATAGCAATATGGGGAGACTAAAGTCAACATCAAGTAATTGTGTATCTTTGAACAGCTAGTGGAGATGATTTTGAATGTTCCCAACACAAAAAGGTGACAAATGTTTGAGGTGATGAATATTCTAAGTGCCCTGATATGAAGATTGCACACAGTATGAATGTACCCAAATATCATATTGTACCCCATAAATATATACAATTATCATAGGTCAATTAAGGAAAATAAATTAAAAAGAGAGAGAGAGAGAAATAGCCAGTAGAATAGTGGTTACCAGAGGCAGGGAAAGGCAGGGGGAAGGGAAGGCTGAGGAAAGGTACTGATCCAAAGTGACAGTTAGATAGGAAGAATAAGTGCTGATGCTTTAGGGTGACAATAGCTAATGATATTTTATTGTATATTTCAAGATAGCCAGAAAAGATCTGGAATGTTATAACCACAAAGAAATGATAAATGTTTAGGTGATAGATATGCCAACTATTCTGATTAAATCATTATACAATATGTGCATGTATTAAAACAAGAAACTGTATCCCTCAAGCACGTAACAATGAAAAAATAAATCTTTTTTTAAAAAGAGAGGTGCAAGAAGAAAGGTATGGTTCACTACAGATTCCTAATGCCTTAAGAAGTTGCAACATGACACAGTTGTTTCTT